GGCATGGTTCTAGTGGGGAGGGACTTCCTTGTCTAGTTCAGCTTCTAGAAGCTGGCAATCCTGGTGGATGCATCTGTCTCTTGTTGTCCATCTTCTTGTCACCCTGTGTGAGTTTGTGTCCATTCTGCTTTGTATAATTCAGCAGTGATTAGATTTCAAATACACCCTACACGAGTATGACCTAATTAACAACAAAAGTCCTATTTCCAAACAGGATCATATTTACAAGTATGTCCTTGATGTTTTTGGGTGCCATCAATCAATTGTGACTCATAGAGACCCTGGGTGACAGAGTAGAACTGCCCCCTTAGGGTTTTCTTCACTGTAATTTTTATGGAAGCAGTTTGCTGGGTCTTTCTCCCATGGAGCCCCTTAATGGGTTCAAATTGCCAACCTTCAGTTAGCAGCCAAACGCTTTACTGTTGTGCTCCAAGGCTCTTTATTGACACATATTGTTGTTGTTGTTATTATTATTTGCCGTTGAGTCGCCCCCGACTCATAGCGACCCCTCCTTGGGTTTCCGAGGCAGTATCACTACAGAAGTAGGATTGCCCAACCTTCCTTCCGAGGAGTGGCTGGTGGGTTTGAACTGCCAGCCTTCTGGTTAGCAGTCAAGTGCCTTAGGCACTATGCTACCAGAGCCAGGATTTCAATATATATTTAGGGGGAGGCAATTCAATCCATAACACTCAGTTTCCTTAAGTATAAAATGGAACTGTACACTAATACTATCGTGTTGAGTCATCAAGAGGGTTAAATGTGACAGTATATGTGAAAGGGACGCACAAGTGTAAGACACCCCCATTAAAGCAGAAAAGGCTCTTTTTCTGATGAAAGGTGTTGACTATCAACGGCAGTATTTAACATTTCATCCCTTGACAGTATCTCTCCAATCTTCCCCACATCTCAGCTTATTTTTGCCATCTTTTTTTTTTTAATCTTTGTGCAGTCTTTTATTTTCATTTAATTTTTTCTGAAGTGTTTGGAAACTAGGCATGAATCTCATTCCTGGTGTCTCATTAAAGAATCAAAATTGTGTGGCTTAATTTTCTTATTCTTCTTAAGAGCCTTTGAGGGGAAGACTCTACCAGGTAAGCCTCCCACCAGAGTAGACGCAGGCAAAATTGTCAAGATGCAAACATGTCTTCAATGACCATGCATTTCCTGCATCTGTAATACTCAAGCCAAATCCAATCATGAGGTACAGAATCAAACGTACATAGCTTAAGAAAAAAGAATATTGGCTCATGAAATAGAAAAGCCCATGGGGCAGGCCTCTAGGCATGGTAGGATCCAGGTTCTCAATGGATTCAATAAGTGTTCTTCCTGTGTTTGTGCAGCCTTGCTCTGCTCTCGTCTGGGTTGCCTTTGTTCCTAGGCAAGCTTCCTCCAAATGGTATCAACTCAATTCTGACTCAAGACAGCTCCACGTGTGTTACAGTAGAACTGTGTTCTATTTTTTGGAAATAAATTGCCAGGACTTTCTCTCAAGATACTTCTGGGTGGACTTGAACCTCCAGCTTTTTGGTTAGCAGCCAAGTGCATTAACAATTTGCACCACCCATAGGTTCCTACACACCCTATATACTGTATATACCCTGTGTGTACACATTTGAGTATGGCCACAATCTGTGAATATGATGAGATACCAGTCCTGTGATTATATTATACGACACAGAGAGATCATCCTGGATAGACCTGATCTAATAAAGTGAGCCCTAATAAACTGATAACTGTAGAAATAGGGGCCCTAGTGGCACACCAGTTAAGCTCTTGGCTACTACTAATAATAGAAGTTGGAGGTTTGAACCCACCCCGTGGCTCTGCAGGAGAAAGACCTGGTGATCTGCTTCCATAAAGATTATAGCTTAGAAAGCTCTATGGGGAAGTTCTACTCTGTCACATGGGGTTGCTATGAGTCAAAATAGATTTATTGGCACCTAACAACTTACCCAAATTTAGCATCTTAGAAAGCCATTGACACCTGGGACAGTCATGAAAGGGATGCTGGGCCCTTACTTCAAGCCCATCCCTTTCTCATCCCACTCTACCATGGGGTTGAGATCATGCTCCTCATTCATTTATTCAGTGAATTTTGACTAAACACATTCTATGTGCCAAGCATTGTGTTCAGTTCTGGGCATTCAAGTTGCCTAAGACATGGTCTCTAATCCCAGGAACCTTTCTCACAGAAGAGGTAAGATGTGTTGTCCTCTGTTGTTACGTGCCGTCAAGTCGGACCCGAGTCATAGCGACCCCTCCTTGGGTTTCTGAGGCAGTATCACTACAGAAGTAGATTGCCCTACCTTCCTTCCGAGGAGTGGCTGGTGGGTTTGAACTGCCAGCCTTCTGGTTAGCAGTCAAGCGCCTTAGGTATCTGTCAGTAGGGCTGTTGAGACAAGAAGGGTCCAATCTCTCTCTCTCTCTCTCTCTCTCTCTCTTTCTCTCTCTCACACACATACACATTAAATACTATGTATTAGACACTGTGGATTGCAAAATGAATAAGACCCCATCTATACCCGACTTGATGGCACATAACAACAATAACAACATGCCCTTGAAGAGCTTGTAGTATCATATAAACATCCTAGGAAACAAATAATCAAGGCATAAAGTGACAAAAATGTTTTTAAAAAGGAAGTACTAAGGACTTAAAATGAACATAGTTAGCTTGGATTTGACTGGCTTCTTTCACGTGGTATGATTTTGAGATTCAACCATGTTGTTGTGTTTATCGGTAGTTTATTTTTATTATTGAGTAGAATTCCATTGTATGGGCATACTATAATTTACTTATTCATCTGTTGATGGGCACTAGGGTTATTTCTAGTTTTTTGATATTAAAAATAAATTTGCTATAAATATCCATTCACAACTCTTTGTATGGACGTGTATTTCCTTTTCTCTTGGATAAATGCCTACAAATGGAATGGCTGCATCACATGTTAGGTGTACAGTTAACTTTTAAAGAAACTGTAAAATTGGTTTTTTTTAAATGGTTGTACCATTTTACATTCCCATCATCAGTGTATGAGAATTCCAGTTCCTCCATATCTTCACCAAGTGTGTATGGTCAGTCTTTTTATTTTAACCACACCAGTAAGTATGTAGTGGTTTTAATGAGTGCTATTTCATGGTTTTAGTTTGATTTTCCTAAGGACTAGTGATGTTCAGCATCTTTTCATATGTTCATTGGCCATTCTTATGTTTTCTTTTGTGAATTGTCTCTTCAAATATTTTGCCATTTTCTTTGAGTCATTTGAGACATCTTACTATTGAGTTAAAAGAGTTCTTTATTTATTCTGGATATAAGTCCTCTGTCTGATACCTCAGCTTGCAAATATCCTTTTCTGGTCTATGGCTTGTTTTTTCTTTCTTTTTCTTTAGGTGTCTCTCAGTGAACAAAAGTTTTAAATTTTAGTGAAGTGCAGTTTATCAATTTTTTTTTTCATTTAAATTTTGTGTTTTCTTTGGTTCTATAACAAAGTTTTTCCTTCTACATCTTATCCCAGAAGTTTTATAGTTTGAGGTTTTACATTTAGATACATGATCCATTTTATTTTTTTTATTTTTTGGCTGTATGCTGTGAAATGAAGGTGAATGTTTGTTTTTGTTCTCCCATACAGATATTCAGGTGATCTAGCACCATTTGGTGTGAAAAAGACTGTCACTTTTCCCATTCAATTGCCCTTACCTTTGTCAAAACACAATTGACTGCTTGTATAGACTATAGTATAGACTATTGTAAGTACTATATGATAATTATACACAGCTTTGTAATGTTTGATATCTGGCAGGGTACCTCACTCTCTTTACTCTTCTTTTATAGAATCTTGGATAATCTTGGAAATTAATTTTTTTTTCATTTAAACTTTGGAATCAGCTTATTTTGTTCTAAAACTTCTGTTGGTCTTCTGAGTGGATGGATTGATTAATTTAGGGAGCGTTGTCTTCTTTGTTGTCTTCTTAAGAGGGAATCTAGGCTATGCTTTTTCGTATACTGAAGTCCTTTATGTGTCCTTCAGTAGTACTGTTTTAAAGTTTTCTTCAGATAAATTTTACACTTTTTATTAAGTTTATTTCTAGATATTTATCTTTTTTAAACATTGTTGTAAATTCCTCCAATGTTGAAATACTGACAACTAAAAAAGGGTTTGAAATACTGTGAGCCATTGAATTTAAAAATCAGACCAAATTCAAATGTATAGCCTCATATCTACTCCAGCTGGGTGCTCATATAAGGAAGTCTAGAGGTGCTGAGTGATTTTCTCAAGGCCACACGGCAAGCTGGTTAGATGCCACTAAAGCCCAGGTAGTCTGTCTCTACATGCCTCTGAGTCCAGAGCCTTTAACCAGCTTCTATAAAATATCTGAGGGAGCTCCAGTAGCGTAGTGCCTAAGGCATTTGACTGCTAACCAGAAGGCTGTGGTTCAAACCCACCAGCCACTCCTCGGAAGGAAGGTTGGGCAATCTACTTCCATAGTGATACTGCCTCGGAAACCCAAGGAGGGGTCGCCATGAGTTGGGTCCAACTCAACGGCACATAACAACAACAACAATAATAAAATATCTGAAGGGCTAGGAAAATAGTAAACATTCTTACGTGCATTGAGTACTTGTATTTCCCTAGTGACTATGCTCACCAATGCAGATTGGAATTAGATAAAAAATTAGATAGGGATTGGGGGGGGGAAAAAAAGAAGGAAAATAAAATAAGTCTAAAATGAGAGAAAAAGCCAAATACAGACACACACATAAACACACCCCAAACCCTCAAACCTCCAGAGTTTCCTGCCTGTGAACCGAAGGGGGGGGGTGTGTGTGTGTGAGTTTCTTGGCCCTGTTGGCAGGTGCTTTCTCAAAGGCCCCATAGCCTTCTACTTCCTGAGGAGGCAGCAGCAGAACAAAGCCAGCAGAGACTTCTTTTCTCTTCATCGGCCTGGCCACTGCTGCCACAGCCTCTGCCTCCCGGCACCGTCCTGGGGGAAAGGACGAGATGAAGTGGAAGGCGCTTGTTATTGCGGCCGTCCTGCAGGCACAGTTCCCAATTACAGGTAAGGCCGACTGGACAATGGCAGGGAACTTTTAGAAACTCTTTGTGTGTTTAGGGTGGGGGGGCTGGTGGTAATGGAAGAGTTTGAGGAGTCGATGTCTCCTTTGAATCCCATCCTCCTCGAAATCAATGGGCAGCTGAGCAGGGAGGGGTCCGAATCGGTGCTGGCATCAGCTTCATTACAACCAAATTGAGTGTCAGTTCAGAGCCAGCTGCTTGAAAACACACTTGCCTAAAGAACAGATTTTTCCAATGATGAAAGAAGAGAGAAAAGTCTGTGGAGGGGAAAGATGAGAAGGAAGGAGGCCAAACAGTGACTGAGGCAGACCCAGTGTGGAGAAAAAGAGGGAGAGAATCTACCAGCAGCTGGATGGGATCAGAAAGTGTCAGCTAGGCCACACTGCATGTTGAGATGTTTCCTACTCTCTCTCTCTCTGTCTTCTTTCACCTCCTTGCTATCTCCGTCATACTGCCTTTTCCTTCTTCCTTGGCCAACAAAGAGCATTTCACTGGTCAGTCAGACAGGCTCATGGACAGGAGGCCTGACTGGCGCTAAAACTCTGCATGGGCCAGAGACTAAGTGGGCCTAGTGAGGAGGGTAGTGACATGTGTAGGAGGCACTGAGTTTGTAGCTTCCGCAGACTACTTTGTGCCACTTCATAGCCCAAGGGATCCATGTCTGGGTTCAGCCCTGTCATGGCTGCCCCTGCACCCCCATAGCCAGGGCTATCCTGTGACACACCCATCCCAGACCCAGTGACTCACCTACCACACCTCCCCCACCACACTTAAAGCCAAAAAACCAGAGATGCTAACAGAAAGTGGGGGACAGATGACAGGACATGACTTGTTAAGTCACCACCATGAATAGCAAACAACCAAGAAGAGAATTTGTTCCTTACCTCACTCCAATTCATGGGAGACTTACTTTTCTATAAGCTTTTTAACTTCTGCCATGTTCTTCAGTCCAGATCATGAGGAGGAAAATAAGTAAAAAGAAGACAAATTGGACTGTCTCAGAGGGTTGACATAGTATTTTTGGCAGAAACAAGACAAGGTATATTTGAATGTAAAGAAATAGGGATGATTGTCACCGACAAAGTTCCCTCCTCAACTTTACAGCTCACCTCAGAGGGAGAGTGTTTAGTGACAATGTTGGGATAAGCAGGACAAGCCATTGGCACTCTCTTCCTACTACGAGATATGCATAACCCCCACCCAGCACCTTGGGTGCCTCCAAAGACTTGAATAATTGCAGGGTTTTCTGTAAGATCACAACTCTCTGCTCGGAAAGGCCATAGTGGGTATGAGTCACACTGAGTTGTTGGTGAGAGCACAGAGGGAGTCCAGAGCAGCCCAGCCTTGTGTGCAGGTGACAAGAGGATTCATAACGCCATGATAGCCTGCGACTACAGTGATTTCAGGGAGTAACAGCTGATGGCAACAGCGTCAGACTCTGACTTTAGTCTTGGGTACTCCAAGTACCTCAAGTCTGAGGAGATCATTCCACAATGCGTGACCTTTACCTCCATTTTCCTCAAGGGTATGCACCAGAATGCTGTGTCTGTGTTTGGTTTTGAGGCCAAGGGAGGGACAGAATGGAGTTAGAAGAGAAAATGAAAGGCTGTTTGCATTGTAGCTGCCAAGAGTGGTAAACCAAACTCCATCCAGCAGATAAGATGAAGGCCATGCCCTAAATACAGAAATATCATGCAGGAGAAAAAAGCTTTAGATTGATGGATTCTTTTCACTTTTCAATCACAATTGCTTTGCCTTTGTGAATGTTGGAATTTCAGCCATTTTTAGATAAAACTTCCATACAAAAGTTTTTTACATTGTCCTGGCCCAGAAACAAGTTACGACGAAGGCAAGAGGAGATCTAGCTATCATCAGGAACCTCAAATGGCACCCATGTTGCCTGAGACACCACCTCTACAGCTTCCCCTTGAGGAAACACTGCACAAGGAATTTGAGTTGAGGTCTTTTCTCATTTCTTGCCCATAAGTCACTTATTTCCCAAACCTTTAAAAGCATCTACTTTTTACTAAGACATTTACATTTGTATTTTTTTAAAAAATAGAAAAGCCAGATCTTTAGGATTAGAACAAATAATAAGTCAATCTCCAATAAGGGTGTCTTACTGGATGAGTCATGACCAGGGTTTGAGGCTGGAAGAAGCTAAGATGGCGTGCCTAATATTATAGGCACACTTTAACCTGCAAAGCCCTCAGCTCCTCCTGCTCCAAACTCCCTGCTTCACAGAGACCAAGAAAGTGCCCCCTGGTCTGTGCGGCCTTTGTCTTTTCTCAGGTGAAGAGATACAGCTCTGATGCGAAGCCTCAGGAAATTCAGCCTCCCTGGGTTGTGAGTGGCCCTGCTTTTAGGGAGGTAACTGGACATAGTTGAAAGAGGCCAACCACAGATGGAATCGCAGCTACTTCCTAGCTGTGCAACCTTGGGCAAGTTACTTAACCTCTCTAGGCCTCAGTTTTCTCACCCTTAAAGTGAGGATAATAATACTTCCCTTGTAGAGTTATGAAGACGAGAGGTGAATGCAAAGTTCCTGCTACATAGTGTTGCTGTTATTGTCGTTAGGTGCTATCAAGTCAACTGGCCAATAGGTTTTCTGAGACTGTAATCTTTACAGGAGCGGATCACCAGGTCTTTTCTCCCCAGGAGCTACTGGTGGGATCGAACCACTGACCTTTCAGTTAGCAGTCAAGCACTTAACCATTGCAACCCCAGGTCTCCTTTGCTACATAGTGTTGTTGTAGTTGTTGTTAAGTGCCGTCAAGTCGTTTCCGACTCATAGCGACCCCATGCACAGCAGAACGAAACACTGCCCGATCCCGCACCAGCCCCACAATCCCTGCTATACTTGAGCCCATCATCGCAGCCACCGTGTCAATCCATCTTGTTGAAAGCCTCCCCCTCTTTCGTCGACCCTCCACCCTACCAAGCATGACATCCTTCTCCAGGGAATGGTCCCTTCTTACAACATGACCAAAATAGGTGAGACGAAGTCTGACCATTCTTGCTTCCAAGGAGCATTCTGGCTGCACTTCCTCCAGGACAGATCTGTTAGTTCTTTTAGCAGTCCACGGTACTTTCAGCATTCTCCGCCAGCACCACAACTCAAAAGCATCAACTCTTCTTCGGTCTTCCTTATACATAGTAGACAGACAAAACAGACAAAACAGAGAAGTTGTGTTAATTATTACTATTATGACTTCTTGATCTGGCTTTTTCTACTCAATGCTCAGGAACAGGGGATGGAATACAGTTGAGGGTCTTACTTTGCTCTCCAATCGTGCTGCAAAGTGACAGTGAGCACTTTCTCCATCTGTTGAAATTCAACTCAGCCCCTTTTGATTTACGAGCACACCCCTAACACTACAGGAATACAACAGTGACTGTGGTAGCCGGCCAATCACTCACAAGGGTCAAAGCTTCAGCTGGTCATCAGATGTGCTCACTAGTCTGTGGGGCCTTTGTCCTTTCTCAGGTGAGGAGATAGCGTTCTGACATGAAGCCTCAGGAAAGGCAGACTCCTTTCATGGCATTTACTCTGTAGGGGAGTGTTCCCCTCCAAATGGAAGCATGTCCGAATATATATAAAAAATAAATAGTTAAGAGGAGGAAACCAAGCACCAAAACTATACTCACTGCCATCGAGTTGATTCCGACTCATAGCGACCCCCATCAGGTTTCCAAGGCTGTAAATCTTTACAGAAGCAGATTGCCTCATCTTTCTCCCACCGAGCGGATAGTGGGTTTGAACCACCAACCTTTTGGTTAGCAGACATTGCCTTAACCACTGCACCACCAGAGCTCCTCTAGGGGAGGTAAATAGAAACAAAATTCACCTGGTTGTCGTTGGTCAGAGTGGCCACCCAGATTTTGGTGTGGGTGCCCAGTTAGTCAGAATTGACTTGAAGGCATCTAACAACAATAACAGCGGAGTGAGTGGGTATTTAAAATAAACTTCTTGAAAACCTAATCTTTGTGAAAATTACTTGGAGCTGGATTCGAGGGAAGTGTTTAAGTGATGCCAGTCAAGTTTTTCATTGGTAGCTTTTCACCAGTGGTTTGTTTAGCCCTCCAGTCACCAGGCTCTGATCATCTCAGACAGAGACTTAATTTCTCTCCCAGAGTGTGTCTCAGACTTTCTGGACGAAGACAACTTCTTTTGCTGCTAAACATTGCCCAGAAACAGTTTTGGGAAGCTTTTGCTTGGGTGAATAACCACGGCTCTGTTTATTTTTAAATTGTTTTTATTTTTGTTTTTGTTCTTTAAAAATGTAGATTTAATTTTTATTGGCTATACTTTTCCTCGGAAGGAAGATGGGGCAATCTACTTCCGTAGTGATACTGCCTCGGCAACGCAAAGAGGGGTCGCTATGAGTCGGGGCTGACTCGAGGGCACATAACAACAACAACATACTTTTCCTTTAAAGAGTCATCCAGCACTGTGATTGGCGTTTTAGTTAAAAAGGTCCTTGTCTCATTAGGGAACTGTTTTGGGATATAGTTGTCTGAACACACTTTGGGAATCCTTTTTTTCCTTGTTGTTAAGTGCCATCGAGTTGGTTGCAACTCAGAGCGACGCTGTGTAGGACAGAACGAAACACTACCCGGTCCTAAGCCTCATTTATCTATGATCAGCTATTGGTTAAATAAATACCAAAGACAGTTCAAAATAGATAATAAATAAATATTGAGGCCAAGGCTAGTTCTTACTAACACTAAAGTGATGGTAGATTTAGGAGCTTGGATGCCAAAAGCAGTTTGAGACCAACTATTAACTTAAAGATTGAGAATTTGAATCCACCCAGGCCTGGCGAGCTGCTTCCATAAGGGTTACAGCCAAGAAAACGCTGTGGGGTAGTTCTTTTCCGTAACGTGGCGATGCCATGAGTTGGAATGAACTTATCAGCAACTGGGGTTTTTGTTTTTGTTTTTGTTTTTTTGGATGGTAGATTTAATCGATTTGAGTGTTCA